GTTGGAACAGCCGCTTCCCTACGACTTTAAAAGATGGCTACTGCAAATAGACACTGCAGAATCATCTTGATGGGAAGTTTTTATTCTTTTATGGAAAAAAAACAAAAACGTTATTATACCTTCAGGTGAGGAACCAGGCCTGGTCTCTTTCTTCATATGGCAGAATTTTCATCAAAGTGTTTCTACTCAGGTTGAAGGAGTTTTCTACGTGAACGAATCTCTGGAGAAGTTGATGTTTGAGGAGCTCAGGAACGCCTGCCGAGGAGGAGGTGCGTCTAGATCTTAGTTGTCTCTGCTGCTGTGTCCCTAGAATCCTAACTGTCCTGGTTGTCTTCAGGAATTGGAGGGTTCCTGCCGGCCATGAAGCAGATCGGGAACGTTGCAGCTCTGCCTGGCATCGTTCATGTGAGTAGAACCCGTTCAGTGAATAGAACACTCTCATTCGACCCAGTTAGAGCGTCTTTGTCTCTGCAGAGGTCCATCGGACTCCCAGATGTCCACTCCGGCTACGGATTCGCCATCGGAAACATGGCTGCCTTCGACATGAACGATCCGAACGCCGTGGTTTCTCCAGGCGGGGTCGGCTTTGACATAAACTGCGGCGTCCGTCTCCTGAGGACCAACCTGGATGAGCGGGACGTCCAGCCGGTGAAAGAGCAGCTAGCCCAGTCCCTGTTCGACCACATCCCTGTCGGAGTCGGCTCCAAAGGAGTCATCCCAATGGGAGCCAAGTGAGTGGGAATACTCCAGAGCTGAGCACGGTTCCCTGCAGGACTCCGCCCAGCCGTCTCACCTGTCCCATCCGTGTGTCTTTAGGGATCTAGAGGAGGCTCTGGAGATGGGGGTGGACTGGTCCCTGAGGGAGGGCTACGCCTGGGCCGAGGACAAGGAGCACTGCGAGGAATACGGACGCATGCTGCAGGCCGATCCCAACAAGGTGTCCTCCAAGGCCAAGAAGAGAGGCCTGCCACAGGTATGTCACAGGCCCCGCCCCCACCGGAGCTAATGGCCTGGAGGGGGGCGAAGCACAAACATTGGTCCTGTCTGTGTGTTGAAGCTGGGAACGCTGGGAGCTGGAAACCACTACGCTGAGATCCAGGTGGTGGACGAGATCTACAACGAGTACGCCGCCAAGAAGATGGGCATCGACCACAAGGGCCAGGTGTGCGTGATGATCCACAGCGGCAGCCGGGGCCTCGGACACCAGGTCGCCACAGGTAGGCCCGGCAGAAAGAACCATGCTGTACCGCCAGCCCAGCTAGCGACTAATGGGACCGTTGTTAACAGATGCTCTGGTTGCCATGGAGAAGGCCATGAAGCGTGATAAGATCACTGTGAACGACCGGCAGCTGGCGTGCGCTCGGATCACTTCGCAGGAGGGGCAGGACTACCTGAAGGGGATGGCCGCCGCAGGGAACTACGCCTGGGTCAACCGCTCCTCCATGACCTTCCTGACCCGACAGGTACGTCCGTCCGGTTCTGTCCGGCCCAGTAGGCCCAATCATTTTCTGACTCCGTCTTTATGCCGTCTTCCAGGCCTTCTCCAAAGTCTTCGGCACCACACCAGACGACCTGGACATGCACGTCATCTACGATGTCTCCCACAACATCGCCAAGGTGGAGGAGCACATGGTGGACGGGAAGCAGAGGACGCTGCTGGTCCACCGTAAGGGATCCACGCGGGCGTTCCCCCCTCATCACCCTCTGATCCCCGTGGACTACCAGGTAACCCGACCGGACCTCCAGGTTTTCCTCGCTGTGATCCGATGCCGTTCTGAGACGTTCCCGTTGTCTTCAGCTCACAGGCCAGCCGGTGCTGATCGGAGGAACGATGGGAACCTGCAGCTACGTCCTGACAGGAACCGAACAGGGAATGACGGAAACCTTCGGCACTACGTGTCACGGAGCGGTACGAGTCTGAGGCAGATTTACAACGGCGGGAAGCTCTGACCGTGTATTTAAACTTCTGTTCTGCTTCGCAGGGCCGCGCTCTCTCTAGAGCAAAATCCCGCAGGAATCTGGACTTCCAAGACGTCCTGGACAAACTAGCCGACATGGGCATCGCCATCCGGGTGGCTTCTCCCAAACTGGTCATGGAGGAGGTGAGGAAGAACTTCTTTCTCTGCTCAGAAGTTCCCAGAAACTTCTCAGAGATCAAACTGTGGACCCTTTTTCCTCGCAGGCTCCGGAATCCTACAAGAACGTGACAGACGTGGTGAACACGTGTCATGACGCTGGAATCAGCAAGAAGGCCATCAAACTCAGGCCCATCGCCGTGATTAAAGGCTGACGGCGGCTCGGCGCCGCCGTCTAGGACAGTTTGCTCTGAACTGGTTCCGTTTCTCTTCAGTTCTTCACAGTTTGATAAAAGGATGACGCTATGAGGCTGGTTCCGCTCTGAGACCGGCTGTTTTTCTTTTGCCAAATAAAAACGATCACATGAGGCTTGAAGGTCCTTGTTTCAGGAAAAAACTGCAGCTTCATGAAGCCTGATGGATCAGCCTGGCTCCAAACCCAACACCAAGCTGCAGAGAGAACCAAACTCTGAGATAACGCTCAATTTACTCTTAAAATATTTTTAACGTTATTGCTTGCAAATAAAATAGAACATTTTAGAACATATACCAGAGAATAAAATCAGATCTGAGTCTGTGTAGCTGTAACATAGATAAGGGCCACTAGAGGGAAGAGAGTGAGGGTCAGCTGGCCATAAATGACTGCATCTTACATCAGGTCACAAAAGAATGAAGCTTCTTTTATCCTGGATCTGCTTCCGTCCTTCAGGATCCATAAGAACCGGAGAGTTTGATCAGAAAGGAGAGGTTAAGATTTCAAGTGCTTTCGGGTTGATCTCATTTTTGACTAGACCTACATAATGAAATATTAAACATTAAGGGCAGTCAAAATTTAGTAAATGTTTGTCTATTCTATTAAAATTTCTGTATCTCTATAATGGGTTTGTATTATGAGTTGTCTTCTTAAAGGAATAGTACACCCAAAACATGATTAGCCTTCATTTTCTACTCACCCCCATGCTGAACAACACTCTGGAGTACTTTTTTGATATC